TGCCTCCTATCATTAGCAATCACATAATTATATCCTATGACATTTAACAAGTCAGTATATATACTACATCATGTTGCAACGTTGCTTCCCTTACGATCAACGAAATGTCACCGCAATGTCTGCTGACCGTTTCGGAATGCCATGTGCTGTAAGCTTGGATGTGCGGGTGGTGTAATGGATAATGGCTCGGAATTCTTAATAGCCTAGCCTAAAACTGAAACAAAAGAATTACTTAGCAGATATATTTCAATATGTAGTTTTCTTCATCAAACCAACGATTCTCTTTAATCACATAAATCCAAGATAGTTTTAGAACTGACTACAGAATTGATACATTTTATATAAAGAGAATTGATATAACCTTTTCTATATCGACAATTAATACTTTTTATATATAGAGAATTGATTCAAACTTATATATACAGAATTGATATATTTTATATATATAGAATTGATACAATCTTTTTTATAGAGAGAATTGATAAAACCTTTTATATAGAGAGAATTGATACAACCATTTATATATAGAAAATTAATAAAAACCTTTTATATAGAGAGAATTGATATAACCTTTTATATATAGAAAATTGATAAAACCCTTTTTATAGAGAATTGATACAACCTTTTATATGGAGAGAATTGATATAACCTTTTATATATAGAAAATTGATAAAACCCTTTTTATAGAGAATTGAAACAACCTTTTATATGGAGAGAATTGATATAACCTTTTATATATAGAAAATTGATAAAACCCTTTTTATAGAAAATTGAAACAACCTTTTATATGGAGAGAATTGATATAACCTTTTATTTATCTTGTAAAGAAGTGATGGATTTACATTTATTAATCCGACAAATTTTATTACTTAAACGGTATTTTTAGTGGACGCCCATAGCTGAGTAGACGCTCCATTTATTTATATTATAAATATTATATTTATTTTCGTTTACTGGCCTGAATATGCTTATATTTTACTAAGATTTCTCAAGTATTCAAGCCGGTAGACGAAGATAAATAAATATACTCTTATATGTATTTGCATTCTAATAAATACTGTTATATATATATATATATATATATATATATATATATATATATATATATATATACATTATAAATTAATTGATTTAAAATATGGTTATTTTCGCTTAAATTTAAATATTATTTAAGTAATATTAATGGCACTTACTACAAAACTAGCTAAGTCATTTCTCAGATTTAGTAAACTTTATTTATTTATTAATTAATTAATTTATTTATTTCAAATATATGTAACCTAATTAATAAAGTTTCATATGTATGTATAAATAACAGGTTAGAATTCATTTTATTTTACTACAATTTTAATTTCAATTTTAAAATTACAACTGTAATATTTTAAAATATTTTCATTGTTAGTTTTAATTTAGACTATATTAATTTTTAGTTTTAATTTGGACTATAAAATATCTATAAGAACACCGGATTTTATATCTTACTGTTCTTTCTTTTATTTATATACATATATATATATATATATATATATATATATATATATATATATATATATATATATATGGAAGAACTTTTCTTAAGGATTATTGTAATTATATCAACTACATTGCCTTCGACACTCTTTTAGAGAACCTTGTCTGCTATGTTATTTAACTTATATCTGTATATTCATTGCTTTGTCACGGGCATTTGTACGACAGTTAGCGTAATAGACTCACTACGAATTTGAATTCAGTCTTGAAACTAAACACTGGAACAAAAAAAAATGGGATCTTTACAATAAGAATACTCTCAGAACGAAGTGTACAAATATCGAAGGACGCATACACGTATTTCATAGAATATGCAAAAGTATTTCAGATCCGGATGTATTTCAACGCTTGACTTTTTCTTTTATCAATTCACCTCAAGTAAGGTGATAATGTCACTAAGACGCAAACGGCCACTTCAGAATGAGAAGACTTTAGAAGCAACCGGAAACCCAATTCTAAACAGGAAACCTCTAGACCTATTTAAAAAAAAAAAAATAAAAAAACGTGGAGGAATGTGAAGAGTGCGATAGGCGAACCTATCTACACCTATTGAGGGACAAAATAAATAAATAGTAAATAAAATTTCAAAGTTTAGATGAAGACGTTAGAAGTATAGAGTTCAGGTAGATTTTAGAAGGAACCGCAAAACAAATCTTAAACAGGAAACAAAGGATAAACTTCTACTCCGTGGAGGAGTGTGAACCGGTTGATAGACGAACCTATTTACTTCTTTGGGAAATATATTAGAATCATATGGAACATTTACTGGGAACAAACTATCTGAATATAGACAGAAAATAAATCGAACAAGTATATAAAGATAGAAAAAGTCGGAGGACAGGGCTTTGCGATCCTATTGGATTTAATTAAAGAAAATAAAAAAAGGTTCGCCCGACGCCGTTCGTCTCACTCGATCATACGCCAATGTAGTGCAGTCAATTTTCTCGTAATACGTTTTGCTAACATGGGCGCATCAAGAAAATAATATCAGTAACTATCTCTTATTGGAAGTACCAAGATGTGATGTTTATCAAGTTCATCTTGAAGGGTTAAATTTACAATTGTTGCATAGATATTTAACCGCATACTCACTCGATCAAAATGGGACACGGCGTTGAGATTAAAGTGCAAGCCAAAGCGTTCGTAGATTAGGAAGAAAAAATGGTAAAGCGCCATGACACTTCCCTTTTTAAGTCAGATAATGACCGAGATCGATAGATAGAAAGATATGAAGAGACTGAGATAGATAGATAGATAGATAGATAGATAGATAGATAGATAGATAGATAGATAGATAGATAGATAATGAAGTTATTTGGTAATCCGTATGGATAATTCTCAGGAGGATATAATCCAAGCAACTCAATATAAAAACTGAGCAAATATTAAGAAACAGACGACTTTAAGGATTCATGCGATTATAATTTATTTCCTTAGTACCGGGATTTTGTTCCTAATTCATCAGATCTCTATTTTCATACACAAATATGGCTAACAATTTTTCCCGGTCCTAAGGAAATAAATTCTAATCAGGAACCCTTTAAAGTTGCCTGTTTCTTAATAAATATATATATATATATATATATATATATATATATATATATATATATATATATATAGAGAGAGAGAGAGAGAGAGATAGATAGATAGATAGATAGATAGATAGATAGATAGATAGAGATAGATAGATAGAGAGATAGATAGGTTTTTCTTACGCTATTTATTTATTTCATTTATTCTTTCCTTTTTCTCACTTAATTTCCCCCTATCTTTTTTCTTTCCCTTTTTCTATTTAGCGATCTTACTCTACCATTCTCTCTCTCTGTCTGTTTCTCTCTCTCTGTATCTCTCTCTCTCTCTCTCTCTCTCTCTCTCTCTAGCTGTCTCCCGCACACTTTTTCACTTAGTCACTTTTTTTCCATCTTTGTTTCTTCTGAACTGTGATTGTTTTTATCGTTGTTCATTCTAGACTACTCCAGAAATTTTCTCACCCACCACCGCACATATTTTTCTACGAATTCTTAATTTTTTTCTTTCATCAGTTTCAATTTTTCCAACCTTTCATAACTTTCTTTTTTGTCAACTGACCATTTTTATTTTTTATTTTCCTATTTTTCCCCAAAAAATTCAACTCTCATCACGATCTTATGCAGGTGATCTCGCGTTCAATTTTCTTTTTTTATCAAGAGTTCTATTTTCTTCATTATCATTATTATTATTGTTATTAGTATTATTATTATTATTATTGTGGCTGTTGTTGTTGTTGTTGTTGCTGTTGTTGTTACTCTTCTTCGTCCTGATGTTGCTCGTTTTAATTTTTTTTTTTTTTATTTGTTTGTGACTAGGTGCCCGACTCATCAGCCTCTCTATCCCGACCAACACTTTCAGAGCAAAATCGGAAGATTCTTATCATAAGACCTGCCGGTCTTTACCAACAGATAAGCTAATTACCTTCTCGACTTCTTTAAGAAAACATCAAATGTCAAACAAAAGAATTATGAAACCATTTACACATTTTTTTGGCTATAAGAATCTTATTTATAGACTTTGACGATAAAGAAGAAGAAGATAACCCCTTCCTCACACACACACACACACACACACACACTCACGGAAACAGAAACAGTTGGAGAAAAACATTATGAAAAACGCAAAGTGGCAAATATTTCAAAAAATGCTACCAATAAAATATGAGGTATTTTTTAAATGTTTTTTTTCTGGCTTCTTCTTCTTCTTCTTCTTCTTCTTCTTCTTCTTCTTCTTCTTCTTCTTCTTCTTCTTCCGTGGTTTTTCTTTGCTTATTTTTCACTTGGCACACTATCTTAAACCAATGGATACTTCAGGTTACTGCCATAGTGTTTTGTTATCAACATTCAGTTTTTACAATCTTATTAATCTCAATCAAAATATTACAAATCATGAATATGAATTAAAAGTTCATTTGGTTTATTAAGAGACTGTTATGATCCAGAATAATGATATTTTATAATTCTAAAAGCAACCTTTCCACCACTGATGATCCATGATGATGATAGTTCATCATTCTAAAATCTGAAACTTCATCATTATAAAAACTAACTTTCCACCAAAGGCAGTAGTGTAGCAGTAGTAAAAAAAGAACAACACAGATGTGTCTTATTCGCTCCGTGGAAACATTTGACGGTTTCAAAGACTACCCTTAACCACGAAATTCTCGGAACAAGCAAAAACGAGTAAGCACAAACGTTTAAAGAAACAAAAGAGACAATAACACTGAGAACATTTTTAACACACACACTACCAATATTGCAATTAACATCACGAAAAGAAAAATACACATTCTTGTCATTAATGTCAACACGTCTCTCAAAGTCTTATTGTTGCTATCATTGTATGTTTTATTCATTTCATTTTCATTAAAAAATAGAGAAAAGAATCCTCTATCAATTCCTAATACATATAACACGGGATAACTTACATTAACAACTAAACTGTAAACATCAACCGTAACAAGAGCATCTGACGATTAAATTGTTTGCTTTGTTCTTCTTTCCGAAAGGACAGAATAAAATGATATCGACATTTTCCGAGCTACTTACGTGTGGCTAGTGATAAAAAAGAATTATCCAGTCCCATCTACAACTACAATTTCTATTAATATGGTTTTGATTATGAAGTAAAACTTATGCTGCAACTACTAGGTTGTCCACGAACCATTTTCGGTCACGATGACTTGTGCTACTGCTAATAATAGTAGTAGTAGTAGTTTTTAAAATACTTAGTCCATTCAAGACATAGGTGATCTCGACACTCCACAGATTCTTTTACTTTATCTGTGAACGATCATGTATTCTTGGGAAAGGTAGTAGATTGGTTTCCCGTTGGCTTATCTGCGGTTTATAATTCAGAATTTTCATTCTCTTAGACTGGTTTGTTGGTTGATTTTGTTTAGCAGCATATTAACCTCTCTGGGTTATTTAATGCTGAAATCTAAATATTTTAACCCAGTTTTATGGATTCAACTAAATACATTTTGAACGCAACTGTATGCTTTCAACTGCAGATATTTATTGTTGGTAATTTCACTATAAATAGGTATTGTTTGTATTTTTATACCTTCATAGTGTTTTGTTTTTGTTTGAGGGTTCACTTTAAGCCCAGAGCTTGGACCTTAACAGGTTCTACCACCCCAGGTCAAGGTGAACCTGGGAACAACAGCAATTAAAAGGTAGTTCCAAACTCTTCAATACCTCCGGTTTTCTGATCAGAGGCCTTGTTACCGGGTGTAGTTTATCGTCCTACCCAGGACTATCTGAGACTGGTTTCCACCTAAACCTAAATTTGATTGAATGATTCGTTTTCTATGGCTTATCAAACTTTTGCAGGTTATTTAAAGCCAGAAAATATTTCAGGACGTAAGGATTTTTATTTAGATAATAATAGTTTAGTGATACAAGTCTTGCTAATTGACCCATAGGTTGGGGGAAAAGAGGCGGATTCATGCCTTTCCCAACGGTATTTGAGCCTAAGTGAATATAACGAAACTAGCGGAAATTGGAACTCGGCTCTCCGATTACCAATTCCGACCGATTATTATCCATTACACCAGCCACACATCCAAGTTTACAGCACCTGGTATTCCCAAATGGTCACCCACCTAGGTACTGACCAGGTTTTAATTTGCTTAACTTCGGTGATCGAACGAGAATCGGTGTTTCAATGTGATATGGCCGTAAGTTTCCAAATCTAAAGAGTAAGCTAGAGCTGGCGGGGGGGGGGACAAATTACGGACTTTCCCAAGAACATTAGTGCAAAAATGAACGCAGAGATCTTTTTTCCGGAATTGTATCATGACTCTCTGATAGCTTTTCTCGCATTGATATTGTATTACACTACCGGCCTGTTCACTTAAGTCTTTCCTCCATCCAAATTTGTTAGCTATTACTATTCCCAGTATTAATCTTGCTGATAGGCTTCATATTTTTATTATTATTATTGCTACTGTCATCGATCATAAATTACTTCCTCTCTCTCCTACCATGTAACCCAATAAAATCCGACGCCTGTTATTTAGAAAGGAAATAGCTACCGCCAAGCTGGAAGAGAGTACATAATATATCTTGATCGGCACTCTGAACGACGCCAGTACGTTCTAAACCCTCGGTCATGATGACTTGAAAGTTCGTGTCAGCGCAAACATCGACAAACAGTTTCATCTACCCAATTTCACTTATAAGGGATGGGTCAACTTTTCAAAGGTATTGTACGCCTCCCCAGACTGATAACATCAATAAATCCATTTCCTGACGAATCGACTGTGATGAGATTCGAAGAAAATGGAAAAAACAAACTAAATGCCTTATTCTGAAAGATCGTATAAAAAGGCCAGTATAAAAAAATCAATTTGTAAGTTATAAAAATTCAAATATGCAAAAATATTTTCAGTAAGCAAATAAATCTGCTTCTTCTCACAGAAATGTTATGACTAAAACTAGAAACTCCTTGTAGTTAACTGACAAAGATCAGAAAACTTCTTGAAAAATCACAAGAAGTTGTCTGACTACTTCCCAGATATGAAGAAAACATATTTTGTATAGCGTTCAAACACATCCCGGTACTAATGGAAGGATAACTAGCTTCGTCGGGCACAAGGTAACAAGCTTAGTGCAACATAGAATTAAACTTGTAGGACATTCAATAAGGATTGAACTAATTACAGTCTGCGGGACTGGCTTGTTGTCTATTACACCATGGCGAGGCTCTCATCAAATTTTATATAACAGTTAGTTTATTTTTAGTTTTTTTGTTGTTGTTTTTTTTTTTTTGTTTGTTTTTTTTTATCCTTGCTTTCGCTACTTTGTGGCTTGATTCACGATCTTTAACTGATACCCTTGGAAATTTGCAAAACTTCACCTACGCTTATTTCAGCGAGGTTTTGTTGCAATATGAAAGACTTTTTTTTTTAAATCGTTTCTCAACCACCCGACTATTGATTGTCACTTGAGGATACAGAGTGTGATGGATAAATTGTCGTCTAAATTACGCAAAAAAAAAAAAAAAAATAAAAATAAAAAAAAAAAATTAAAATAATACTGATATCTCATTTTAACGCATATATTTCCCAAAATTACGCAAAAATATCTAGAAATACAACAGAGTAACTTTATTCAATAAAATCAACATTGGCTTCAACCACGGCCTCGAGACTTCGGAATCTCCTGCAACTCTTCTGGACGGTCTCCTTCTTTAAGTTGGTGAATGCTGCCATAATCCTTGCTTTCAGTTCATTTTTGCTGTTTTTGTTCTGTTGGTCTCTCACTCAACTGCGCCCACACATAATTATCAAGGCTGCTGCTGTCAACCTCATAAAATCCAGACCCCCGCGACACAGATAATTGTGAACCCCATAATCTTTTCACTGGCTCTTTTGTATGCACCTCATCTGGGTCACATAACAAATTTCGAATTCAGTATTGTCCTTCTCCTAGACTGGTTACCTATCCATGACCAGAGATCCCTGTCTGCCGCGCCATTTTAAACAGTAGTTGGAATGAGAAGAGATCGATTCATACCTTTCCCAAGGGTATTAGTGCGAAAGTAATGTAACGAACTTGAGCAAATTCCAACTCGGCTGAGCACATATATTACATCCTTTGAATTCATTATACTCCATGAGACTAGCTTTTTAACCATTACTTCATCAAGTTTTATATAAAAGTTTTGATTTATTATTATTATTATTATTATTTCCTTGGATTTCTGTTGCATACATATTTCCTTCCGGATCCCAACCAGAGACCTAAGGTCAGAAATGCTTCATGACATTTTCCTCTGTATTAAAAAAAATAAGATCACACAAAATTGACATAGATAAAGTTCTTCGTAATGTGTCAGCTGTACTTGTGAGTGTTTTTTTTTTTTTATTTCTTTAAGCCATGGGTTACAAGAAATCCCTTCAATGAATCCATCGGAATTTTTTTCCAAGCAATCCGAAGGTTCCATCTACATCTGAAATTACTGATGTCCTCATGCGCCACATTTGTTCGATTTCCTCTTCAAGATCCTTGTATTTTGACAGTTTATTATTATTATTATTATTATTATTATTATTATTATCATTTTCTTTGATTTCTGGCGTTTACATTTCTTTCGGGTCCGCCCAGGGACCTAAGGTTAGAAAATAGCGTCATTTTTCCATTGACAAAAAAAAAAAAAATTACATGGATAAAGCCCTTCGTAAGGTGTGGGCTGTACTTGTCAGAACAATTTTTGTATCTCCTTGAGGCATGGACTTCCAGGAATCCCTTCAATTAGTCTACTGCAATCTTTTCCAACCAGTCCTAGGGCTCCAACTACAACAAGGGATTGTTGATGTTCCCATATGCCACATTTTCGAGATTTCTATTTCAAGGTCCTTGTACTTTGACAACTTTTTGAATATCTTCAAAGATACATTGCAGTCAGCAGGGACTGCCATATCAATAAGGAGGCACCGTTTTTGTTTGTGGTCTTTAATAACAATATCTGGCCGGTTGGCCTTGATTGTTCTGTCAGTGTGTATTGTGTAATCCCATAGAATTACTAGCGATATCTTCTTACCAGAATGTAATTTTAAGTGCACAATTACCAAGTCCCCTCCGGGGTTTATGCATAAAAAGTCATTGTAGGAGAGTTATCTTTTAGATGGAGAGTGTTTTGCAGACGATATGTGTAGTTCCGTACAAAGTAATCTTTTCTAGCTCTGATGTGCTGATGTGTCCAGGAATTTTATTCACATAATTTCGGCACCATTCTGTAGCATACCCAATGTCTCTATTGCAACAGAGATAGTCGTAGTTTTAACTTTCCACATTTCCGTTACTTCGATTTGCAGGTCCTTATAATTTGACAGTTTTTGAAATTCTTTTTTATAAACATTAGAATTATTAATTATTATTCACGATCGTCAACTAATAACTTTGGAAAAATACACTGGGGTGCCAAATAACTGCCCCCACCCCAATTATTTCCTCGATGTCTTGTTATAGTTTAAACGATTTGTTTTTAATTCTTAATCCCACCATTTATTGAAACCCTCGTTTTATTACATTTTCTCATTTTTTTTTCTACAGTCCCCCCACATTTATCACAACCCCCACCTTTACTTAGCACCTGAGAAAATGTATTCTTTATTTATGCTAATCACAGTCTATTCTTAAACGTAACATGATAATCTGCGGTTAGGTTCATTGATTGATTCGTTCATTTTTACGGTTTATCAACCTCTTTGCATGTTATTTAAAGGCAGAAAATATTTTTAGGTTGTAAGATGTTTTTGTTTAGTGATACAAGTCTTATTAATTGGCAAGTCTTTTTAAAATGGTTTAGTGATAAAAGTCTTACTAATTAACCCATAGCTGGGGGGAGAAGAGGTCGGTTTATACCTTTCCTATGGGTATTTGCGCGTAAGTGAATATAACAAACCGTACTGAAATTGGAACTCGGGTCTCCGATTAACAATCCCCAGCTATTATCCATTACACCACCCACACAAGATTACAGCACCTGGTATTCTCAAGCGGTCGCCTATCTAGGTACTAGCAAAGTTCGACGTTGCTTAACTTCGGTAATGGTACGAGAATGTTTCAACGTGCTGTGACCGTAAGCCGACAGGGTTCAGGAAAATAATATGGATAATTATTATCTATATTGATAAGTATGATTATCTATATGGTAACTATGTGAAACTATGTACGCCAGTATAAATCTATGTGAAAAAAATTATTTGTTGGTTTTGGTTAGTAGGGTGTTATGGTTTGTTGCCCGTTTTTTTTTTTTTTTTTTTTTTTGTTTTCCTTTTTTCTTATAATTGTTTAAAAACTGTGTTTATTCCCGAACCTGATACCGGAAATACATTTAAGGGTGTTGCTATGCTAACATGGATTTTTGTAGAAGTGTGCATAGCAGGGAACGAGAATGCGTTATCTGTTTTCATTTATATTCTGGATTTTTTTTATCGACAGCTTCTTTTCATTCCTCTTAAATCGAAAAATCCGACCTTTTGTGCTCCAGGGTAGAGAAGAGAAGAGAAAAAGGAACGAGATGGGCATCGAATTATCCGTAAACTCTTATCGCTATTGCTATTTTTTTCTAAATTTGTCAATTTATATACAAAGCGGCTACACTAAATCTTCTGCTTACAAACAAAAATGTTTGCACACGAGCGTAAGTAGAATTCTTTTGGAAATAATAATAATAATAAAGTTGTTCTAATGATAGTGCTAGCTCCGTGGTGCCACTCTGAAAAGAATGCAAATGCTATTCCTTATAATGTTATATGGTAGATAATGCTAGAAAACCTCTATAGATAAAGAAAATAGTTGAAACAACAGAAAATATGGTTTGAATGGCGATGTTTAGAACACCATGGACTGAAGCCGCAAGTGACGACGATGATTTAAAGAAAATGAAAGCAAAAAGGATAAGTTAAAATCAGAATGAGACAGACGGTCTTGGAGAATTTGACACTCACAGGACATAATGAACGCAAAATAGACAGAGAAAAACAGTAAATAGCCTACCTAACGCGCTTTTGTCAATGGATGGCAGAGAGGTGAGTGAGAGAGATAGTAAAAAGTCAAACGTTACTGCGAGCAACAACAGATAAGTAATTGCGTACTAGCATGATCACGCACGTCCTGAAAAGCACGATATATAGAAGACTGTGTTTTTACTAAGCATGTAACAAACAGCTTTC